CTATAGGGCTACGAAGCGCTGTTCTGGGTGGGTGAAGCGCAGGGAACAAGGGCTGTGCTGGGTGGTGGCGGACGCAAGCGGGCAGTGCCACTGGGACCTTTGGTGGAGCCCCCTATGGGGCCACGAAACGTGCGAGGGGTGTGCCAGAATGGGGTGTGGAACCGCATGCCAGCGCAGCCACTGGGGCCTTCGGTGGAGCTCCCTATGGAGCCACGAAACGTGTGAGGGGTGTGCCGAAATGGGGGGTGGAACCGCATGCGAGCGCAGCCACTGCGGCGTTCGGTGGAGCTCCCTATGGGGCCACGAGACGTGTGAAGGGCGTGCCGAAAAAGGGGGTGGAACCGCATGCGAGCGCAGCCACTGGGGCCTTCGGTGGAGCTCTCTATGGGGCCACGAACCGTGTGAGGGGTGTGCCGAAATGGGGGGGGAACCACATGCGAGCGCAGCCACTGGGGCGTTCGGTGGAGCTCCCCATGGAGCCACCCACGAAGCGTGTGAGGGGTGTGCCGAATGGGGGGTGGAACCGCATGCGGGCGCAGCCACTGGGGCCTTCGGTGGAGCTCCCTATGGGGCCACGAAACGTGTGAGGGGTGTGCCAGAATGGGGGTGGAACCGCATGCGGGCGCAGCCACTGGGGCCTTCGGTGGAGCTCCCTATGGGGCCACGAAACGTGTGAGGGGTGTGCCAGAATGGGGGGTGGAACCGCATGCGGGCGCAGCCACTGGGGCCTTCGGTGGAGCTCCCTATGGGGCCACGAAACGTGTGAGGGGTGTGCCAGAATGGGGGGTGGAACCGCATGCGGGCGCAGCCACTGGGGCCTTCGGTGGAGCTCCCTATGGGGCCACGAAACGTGTGAGGGGTGTGCCAGAATGGGGGGTGGAACCGCATGCGGGCGCAGCCACTGGGGCCTTCGGTGGAGCTCCCTATGGGGCCACGAAACGTGTGAGGGGTGTGCCAGAATGGGGGGTGGAACCGCATGCGGGCGCAGCCACTGGGGCCTTCGGTGGAGCTCCCTATGGGGCCACGAAACGTGTGAGGGGTGTGCCAGAATGGGGGGTGGAACCGCATGCGGGCGCAGCCACTGGGGCCTTCGGTGGAGCTCCCTATGGGGCCACGAAACGTGTGAGGGGTGTGCCAGAATGGGGGGTGGAACCGCATGCGGGCGCAGCCACTGGGGCCTTCGGTGGAGCTCCCTATGGGGCCACGAAACGTGTGAGGGGTGTGCCAGAATTGCAATTCCGAGGTTGAGCAAGCCTGAGCATGAGTGAGTGAGTCCAGCAGGGTGGCAGATGTTTCATATTTGTTTCCATATTCCATATTGTTGCTTGGTTCCAGAATTGTGTAGTTTGACATGTGTATTTTGCCTGCTACCGTCTCGGCTCTAGCGCCCCCTCGCTTGTGCTCAGAGGCACGGGAGTTTAGACGCCCTGTGAGCAGGGCCCGAACTTGAGGAGTTCAGACAAAAGATCAGAGATCAATACCGCTGCGCAATTTCCGCCGACGACTCGCATGGTAGCAGGAGCACGTGGTTGACACGGAGAGGAACTACGATGACCGAGGATCATCGAGGCAAGGTGCCAAGCTGGGATGGGGATCCCAAGACTTGGCGGACATACAGGCGGAAGGCCCTCCAGTACCAGGAGGGCACCAAGAGGGAGGACCGGTACCTGTGCGGCCCGCGGCTGGAGGCGAAGCTCACGGGCCGGGCCGAGATCGCGGTCGAGCGCTGCAAGGCTGGGTGGCTCTCCAGACCAGATGGCGTGGAGAGGCTCCTGGCGTGGCTGGAGCGCAGATGCTCTCGACAAGCCGTGCCAGACGTAGGCCAGGAGCTCGAGACGTTCTTGATCAAGACGAAGCGCCGCAAGCTCGAGCCAATGCAGCAGTGGACGGACCGCTTCGAGACAGGGTACCAGTACCTCAGACGCGCGCTGGCACGCGCGCTGGGACACACAGTCCCGGTCCAGGTCGCTCCAGCGTGGAAGTGGACAGGGCGACCATACCGCTGGGTCGAGGTCGAACGTGGCTGGCCATTCGAGGGTAGCGAATGGACATGGGAGTACACGGACGGCCTGCCAGACGATGAGAAAGAGGACTCACACCTCTGGAGCGCTGCTGACCAGGATGCGGACGCCGAGGAGGAGCTCGGGGACATGCCAGAAGTGTTCCCGAGCCTGGTCCTGGGCTGGTTGATGCTCGTGGGGTCAGGCCTTGACTCGCGCGAGCGGGCGGCCATCATGACGGCAACCGGCGGCTCGCTGGAGGTCAACGCCATCCGGGAGAAGCTGACCTCGAGCTGGGAGGACGATGACCTGGCGGAGCGTGATGGGCACTCACGGTTCCCGAAGGCGTACACGGCCCAGCTCGGAGAAGATGATCGCACATGGCTTGACGGAGATGAGGCACCAGATGCGAGCAGCTTCGCGGCCGACATGGAGAACAGCGAGTGGCAGGAGGAAGAACCAGGCCCAGAGGAGGCGAACGATGATGACATCGAGAGCTACTTGGCGGCTCAGCAGGAGGAGGCGGAGGCGCTCGCGGCGATCCACACCGCCCAGCGTACCCTCCGCCAGGCTCGAGAAGCTCAGGCAGACAGCAGGCTGAGCAGGGGCTTCTACAGGGGAGGTCGGCCAGCGCCGAAGGGGTCAGGCAAGGGGTTCCCAGCGGGATCACGCCGACCACTTCCTCCCCAGGTAGGATTCAAAGGCAAGATCTTGCCACTAAACAAGGGGCAGAAGAAGTGCGCGAAGTGTGGAGGACCCCACTGGGCTCAGGACTGCCCGGACCGTCATGACCCACGTCTACGGCAGGGAGCTGCAGGCACGCCAGACGCGAGCGCGAAGGTGGCAGAGCGCAGAAAGGAGCTGAAGTTCAACCTCGTGGCCTCGCTGGTCGCCGAGCAGGAGCCCCGGGAGTCGGAGTGCGAGGCGATGTTTGCGGACCAGGCCATCCTCGAGGGCAAGGGCATCGTCGACTTAGGGTGCACGGACGCCATGGGTGGTGAGCGCGCCCTGGACATCGTGGCCCGCAAGAACTTGGAGAAGTATGGCGACACCCGGCTGCTGGACGTGAACCTGGACTACAGGCCAGTCTACAGCTTCGGGAATGGCGAGAAGGAGCGCGCCTACGGACAGGTGAAGTTCGGCATCACGGGCGCGGGCGCGGAAGGCGACATCGCCATCAACGGTTTCTCGAAGGATGTCCCGATCCTGGTGTCCAAGAAGGTGCTGAAGAAGCTCGGGGCCGTCGTGGACTGCGAGACTGGGGTGGCCGTGTTCGTGAAGCTCGCGCCGGACATCCCCGTGCAGCTGGAGGAGTCACCTGACGGAGGCCACTACTACCTGAGCCTGGTCGACGACCTGCTGGAGCAGCGCGTCAAGGACCAGAGCCAGCTGCGGAACTTCAAGACCATCTGCGAGAGCATGCGTGAGTGGGACCGCCAGCCCGTGGCCGCAGTGTGCCAGGGGCCGGACAGCAGCTCGGATGACCGGGCTGAGCAGTTGGAGCGCTACATGTATCCATCTCAATCCGATCACAGCATTGTCACCGATGCGTCTCCAGTTGCTTCAGCAGGTGCGTGCAGAGGCCAGTCGTGTGGCCAAGCCCGCAGCATTCATCACAACAGTTGGCCACAGCCTCAGGAGGGTCCCGCAGTTGAAGGCAGCGACCGTCCCAGTGTCCAGTCTCAGTTCCAGCTGAACCGGGCATCCCAGGTGAACCAGGGGGTCCCGCTGCAGATCCATAGCCGTTCGGGCTCGAGCCAGGCAAGTTCACTCGAGTCGACAGCGACCGACGGCGTCCAGCCACCCGCAGTTCCAGATCCACCAGATCTTCCATATATTCCATATTCCAGGCCGAAGGCCGTCGATGTCAGCAAAGAGATGCGCTGGGGTAACATCATCCGCGGAGCGGTCCAGCTCACCTGCGCCAGGATCGCATGCTCGTGCGGTGCGACCACTCCAGATGCCAACGTCTCGCAGTGCAGTACAGGGCCTCTACAAAGCGGAGGTGCTCCACTTACTTCAGGAGCTTGGCCTACCGCGCAGTCCGGCCTGGGGCGTGGACGAGCTGAAGCAGGTCCTCAAGGAGCACATGTTTCCGAAGGGCGAGACGCCAGTGCAGACGGCCATGAAGGGTCTCAGCTCGATGAAGAAGTCCCAGCTCTTGGCGAAGGCAGAGGAGGTAGGCGCCCACGTGACACAGGGCATGACGAATCCGTCACTCAAGCTCTCGATCCGCAAGGCCATCCTCATGAAGCATACATTGGAGCCGACCGACTACATGGGTTTCGGGAAGCACGGAGCCATGACCTACCAGCAGGTTCGGAGCCAGTACCCATCCTACGCAGCCTGGTGCCAGAAAGAGGCGAACTAGGAGAGCAGCTGGGAGCTGGCCCGGTATGCCTCATGGCTCAACGAGCAGGAGATCATCGACAAGAAGGCCGGGGTGACCAGGGCTCCGAAGGAGGTCCCGAGAGAGCCGGACAAGGCTCGAGGGGGCGCGAGGTCATCCCGCAGGAGAACGGTCGACGCGATCATGGAGGACGAGATCGAGGAGCAGGAGAAGCTCGAGGCTGCGATCAAGGTGCAGAAGGAGGAGAAGGAGTCCAACCGCTTGGTCCAGGAGCAGATGCTGACGGCGCTGAACCAGCTCAACCAGAGGCTCGGCCAGCTGGAGGGCCAGGCGAGCTCAGCCAGTTCCAACGCCGGGAGCTTCATACAAGTGGGTTCCAGTCCGAGTGGTCTGGCAGAGGTTTGAACTGCACGAAGGAGCTGGACCCCAGGAAGCAGCGCTGGCTTGCCAAGTGCATCCAGGAGAGCGGCCACGTTGAGGACTACGAGGCGCTGATGGCCCACGGCAGTACCAAGTTGATGGAGGTCGCGTGCAGCCCGACATCCATCCTGAGCACTAAGATGGCGGAGAAGTTCGGCGAGGACGCTGTATGCCGCATCGGTGCGTGGAACGGTTTCAAGCTGGGGACACCTGGCGGCAACCAGAGGGCTCGGGAGGGACGTGATGAGGCTGAACCAGACCACCGGTGGATCAGTACGAGGTGCGGCCCCCTGTCTACCCTCACCCTCGGCTTCAACGGCTCCAACCCTATCAGGGCCGAGGCCACCAGGAAGCGCAGGTTGCAAGCCATCAAGGAGTACAAGGGCGCGGTGCAGTTGGTGTATGACCAGGTGGCTCAAGGCAAGCATGTACACTGGGAGTGGCCCATCAAGTGCGAGGGCTGGGGCCACACGATGATCAGGAAGATGGTGGAGGACTGCTCCATGACGGTGGTGAAGGTGGCAGGCTGCCAGCTCGGCGTGAAGGGCGGGAAGGGCCTGCCGCTGTTGAAGGAGTGGCTTATCGCTACGACGTCTCCAAAGATGGCAGCCCGGATGTCCCTGGAATGCCCAGGAGATCACCGACATGGGGAGCTCACAGGAGGCAGTCTGACAGCGGCCACCAGCTATTACCCGGACGAGTTTGCCAGCCAGACGAGCTGTGCGCGCGATGACCGAGGAGGCCGCGCCCGACTACCACGAGTTCATGAGGTGCGCGGTGGAGCCCGGGGAGGCGGCCGACCAGGCGATGGCAGCCAACCAAGAGGAGACAGAGATGAACTCGGACTTGAGCTCGAAGGAGTACCAGCAGATCATGAGGTGGCTCACCTCAATCCACCGTGGCTCAGGTCACAGCTCGAAGGCCTCCATGCTGAACGCACTTCGGAGGAAGGGCGCCAGCCCACAGGTGCTACAGGTGGCCGAGGACTTCCACTGTGACGCTTGCGAAGAGGCGCACAAGTTCAAGCCCGCACATCCGCCGGTCAGCTTAGAAGCCATCCCGCCGAAGTGGAAGCACATCCAGGCGGACCAGCTTGAATGGGAGCACCCGCAGACGAAGGTTAAGTCCAAGATCTCCCTGATCATAGACGAGAACTGCCGGGTGCGCGTCAGCAAGCTACTGTACCACATGGTTGGCGAGGACCGGCACAGGAATCCCGTGTGGGCCGACCTCAAGCAGTTCTATGAGGAGCGCTGGATGCCCTACTTCGGCAAGCCACAGAGGGTGAAGGTGGACCCCGAGGGCTCCTGGATGTCCAAGCAGGCGGCTGAGTACTTTGATTCCGACTCCATCGCGTACGAACCCATACCTGGCCAGGCCCACTGGCACATCTCCCTCGCCGAGGAGGCCATCCAGGCCACCAAGGGGACCATGGACAAGTTGGTGACGGAGAACCCCGAGATGACGACGGAGGAAGCCCTGGCCAGAGCGACCGCAGCTGGGAACTCACGAGAAGATGTCCGAGGACACTCACCCCTTCAACATGCCCTCGGGCGAGCACCAGACCTGGACGGATACTTCTTTGAGAGCGACTTCGACGAACTGCCCTACGTGGAGGCCCAGAGGGTCGACAAGGAGTTCGGGGAGTACTACACCAGGATGTATGCTGCCGAGCAGGAGTACCTGAGGCAAGTCTACATGCGACGCATCAGCAGGGCAGAGAACGCGAAGAATCAGGCGGTGAAGTCCGTGGTGCCAGGCATGTGGGCGCGCTACTTCCGGAAGGAGAAGGGTGAAGCCAAGGGCCGATTCAAAGGGCTCGCGAGGGTCCTGGCCGCAGAGACGGCGCGGCTGGTGGACGGGGACCTCGGCGAAGGACGGGCCCTACACCCTGGGCGTGCAGGATCTGTGGCGTGGCTTGTACGAACCGGGCGTATCATCAAGATGGACCTCTGCCAGATCCGGGCAGCCTCCTCACGGGAGATCGCCTACGCAGAGCTGATGGGAGGCAAAGACACGCCCTGGACAGTCCACACCTTCATGAACCAGACGATGAAGCACGAATACCTGGACTTCACGGGCCACGACCCCACCGAGGACGACATGGAGGTCTCGACCTGGGAGGGACTACCTGAACCAGCCCCTCCACTGAAGAAAGCCCGCACAGGACAAGCCACAGGAGGAAGCCAGGCCTCAAGGGGCAGTTCAACACCACCTGTGCGGAAGAAACTATTCAAGAAAGGATACCATCCAGGAGGAACAGCCGACCAAGTCCGAGCGTCTCGAGCAGCCCTGGCGGAGGAGCAGATGAAGGAGAACATGGCCCTCATGGCGAAGTCCACTGCAGACGCCTGGGCCTTTTGGGCTCGTCAGGGCACGTCACTGGAGGTCTCCGTTGAGGTTCCCCTGGAGGGGAAGCCGCTCAAGCAGGCCACGCGGCACATGAGTACCTACATGGCGAGCCAGCTGCGAAAGGGCAAGCGCGAGATCTCGGAAAGAACGTTGACCCCGGACGAGGTGGCGCAGTTCGGCCAGGCAAAGGCCACGGAGGTGAACAACTACATTGTGTCTTCGGTGCTGGAGACGCTCCTACCAGGCGTGACTCCGCCTCCCGAGGACGTCATGCGCATGAGGTGGATCCTCGAGTGGAAGGCGGACGAGAACACGGGCACGAAGAAGCCGAAGGCAAGGATTGTGGTCCTGGGTTATATGGACCCCGAGTACGAGCACCGTCCGACCACCGCCCCAACCATGACGAGAACTTCGAGGCACCTGGTGCTGCAGACGATGGCGTGGTTGGGCTTCAAAGGCTACAAAGCGGACGTGACGGGGGCTTTCACGCAGAACAGAGAGATCCAGCATGACCTGTTCGTGATGCCTGTGAAGGAGCACGCGGCGGCGCTGGGGATGCCCGAGGGCGTTGCGATGCGGCTCAGGAAGGCGGTCTACGGGCTCGTGGAAGCAGCGATCGAGTGGTTCATGACCGTGAGCGAGGCACTGGCGGAGTTCGGCTGGACCCAGATGAAGATGGACCCCTGCGTGTGGGTGCTCTACGGTGACGGCCACGGCAGGGATAACGGCTTCACCAAGGAGGCGCTGAAGGACTTCACGAACCCAGAGGTGCTCGGGGACCTGATCGCGGCGAAGGGGGACATGGACATCATAGCCATTGCGGGGTCGCACGTGGACGACTTCCTGCTCGGTGGCAACGACACGGACCCCCGGTGGATTACCGCCCGGGAACAGATTGAGAAGCGCTTCAAGTGGAAAGCCTGGGAGTCGGAGGAGTTCATGCAGACGGGGGTGCGGATCAAGCAGCAGCCCGACAGGAGCTTCCGCATGGACCAGAGCGAGTATGTGAAGACCATCGAGAAGGCGTACCTCACCCCGGAGCGCAAGAAGGCCAAGGACATGCCGACCACCGACAAGGAGAAGGGCCAGCTGAGGGCTATCTTAGGGGCCATCGGGTGGAGATCCGAGCAGTCAGGGCCCATGCACTCGGCCGACACGAGCCTTCTGCTCAGCACCATACCATCGTCCACCGTGCAAACCATCAACGAGACCAACCGCCTGGTCGATCGTGTCCGTGAGTGTGCTGATCTACCCGTAGTGATACACAGCCACTCTCAGGCACAGGTGCTGGTGCCAGTGGAGTGGTCCGACTCCTCCGAGGCCAACCGTCCCGACGGAAAGTCCACGAAGGGCCTGGTGGCGGGGCTGGCACCTTTGAGGATCCTCAGGGGAGACGAGGCGGACGTGAGCCTCATATCCTGGAAGTCCGGGAAGATCGATCGTGGTTGCCGCAGTTCCGTGGCATGTGAGACACGCTCCGCCGTGGATGCTGAGGACGAGCTGTTTGGCATCAAGTTGCAGTGGCTAGAGATCCTAGGCAACAACATCGACTGGAGGAAGCCCGAGGGGATTCTACGCAGACTGCCAGGAGCAGTGGTTGTGGATTCAAAGGGCCTGTACGACAAGCTGCAGACGACGGTCTACACCTTCCGGGGCAAGGAGAAGCGGACCGACGTGGAGGCCATGACCCTGAAGGAGGGGACGCAGGCGGCGAACAACTGGATGCTCTGGGTACATGGGGATGCCCAACTCGCCAACTCGCTGACGAAGGGACACGAGCCAGGCCAGCTGCGGATGTATTTCAACAGCGGGCATCGCTTGAAGCTGGTCTACGACGAGAAGTACCAGAGCGCACGGAGGAGGAAGGCCGCTGGAATCCAGCCGTTCGAGCACGTGGGAGCGGGCATCCTCAAAACGCCAGGCGGGACAATGGCCCACATCAGTGCAGCTGCGTGCCCAGACTTCCCGCCATATGAGGCCATGACCGAGTACAGTTCAGACGAGGAGGCGGACTCAAGGATGCTCAGCTTGGAAGACCCTTATCCGTGCAATTCCGAGGTTGAGCAAGCCTGAGCATGAGTGAGTGAGTCCAGCAGGGTGGCAGATGTTTCATATTTGTTTCCAGATTCCATATTGTTGCTTGGTTTCAGTTTGTGATTGATTGTGTAGTTTGACATGTGTATTTTGCCTGCTACCGTCTCGGCTCTAGCGCCCCCTCGCTTGTGCTCAGAGGCACAGGAGTTTAGACGCCCTGTGAGCAGGGCCCGAACTTGAGGAGTTCAGACAAAAGATCAGAGATCAATACCGCTGCGCAATTTCCGCCGACGACTCGCAAGAATGGGGGGTGGAACCGCATGCGGGCGCAACCACTGGGGCCTTCGGTGGAGCTCCCTATGGGGCCACGAACCGTGTGAGGGGTGTGCCAGAATGGGGGGTGGAACCGCATGCGGGCGCAGCCACTGGGGCCTTCGGTGGAGCTCCCTATGGGGCCACGAAACGTGTGAGGGGTGTGCCAGAATGGGGGGTGGAACCGCATGCGGGCGCAGCCACTGGGGCCTTCGGTGGAGCTCCCTATGGGGCCACGAAACGTGTGAGGGGTGTGCCAGAATGGGGGGGGAACCGCATGCGGGCGCAGCCACTGGGGCCTTCGGTGGAGCTCCCTATGGGGCCACGAAACGTGTGAGGGGTGTGCCAGAATGGGGGGTGGAACCGCATGCGGGCGCAGCCACTGGGGCCTTCGGTGGAGCTCCCTATGGGGCCACGAAACGTGTGAGGGGTGTGCCAGAATGGGCGTGGGAGGGGGAGGAGGGGGGAGGAGGGAGGGAGGAAGGAGGCGGGAACGCGGGGCACCGTCTCTTCAAAACGAGGACCCAACACC